AAAAAAAAAAAAAAAAAAAAAAAAAAAAAAAGATGACAAATAGAACATTATCAAAATTTGGGGGATTCAGGTAAAGCAGCGCTTACAAGGCAATTAACAGCATCAAATGCCTTTATCAGAAGTCTCAATAACCTAAACTGCTACCTTAAGAAACTAGAAGAAAGAAGAGAAAAACCCAAAGCAAACAATAAAGGAAATGGTTAAGAGCAAAAATTTATGAAACTGTAAACAGAAAATCAGAAGAAGAAAAAAATCAGCAAAACCAAGAACTTGTTCTTTGAAAAGATCAATAAAATTGACAAACCTCTAGCAAGACTGATAAAAATAAAGAGAAATAATAGCTTCTTTGGCTTTACTTTGAAGAACTTTGGTCACACCCCATTTATAGTACTATGGACAACTCATTTTAAAAGTGATGCCAATAAGTTCAATGTATCCAGCCTAAGATACTAAGGCCTGGATATCATGTCGCATTAAAAAACCATGCCGGAATTTTTAGCCAGAGAAAATAATACTAAAAAGGAAGAATGATTATGAAGTTCAGATATCTGTAGGGCTATCATAGGAACACAGTGACTACTTACAAAACATGCCAGAGAAAACAGGTGTAAATTATAGCAAGGCAGATTCTGGGTCAGTGTAACAAAGAGAACTTGTATCAATTAGAGCTGACAATGAAATGGGTTGCTTCATAAAACAGTAAGATTTACATTACTCAAACAGAGTCCAAATGAATATCTAATTAGGAATTCCATATAAGAGAACATGGAGGTGATGTCTAAGCACCTTTAGGCATTTGACTACAAAAGTCTACTTCATAAAATATTAAGTAGGTTTAAGCATTCAATAATTTAAATTTGCTTCATTAACCTACAAATTATAATACGCTATGACAACATAATCATAATTGTAGCCTTCATTTTCAAAAGCGTTTAATAAAATAATATGCATTCTCTGGCTGGAAGTGAAAATAAAAGTCTAATTAATCTGTTAAAGTCAACAATTCTGGGACTTCCCTGGTGGCGCAGTGGTTAAGAATCCGCCTGCTGATGCAGGGGACACAGGTTCGAGCTCTGGTCCGGGAAGATACCACATGCCGTAGAGCAACTAAGTCCGTGCGCCACAGCTACTGAGCCTGCGTTCTAGAGCCCACGAGCCACAACTACTGAAGCCTGTGCACCTAGAGCCTGTGCTCCGCAACAAGAGAAGCCACCGCAATGAGAAGACTGTGCACCACAAAGAAGAGTAGCCCCACTTGCCGCAACTAGAGAAAGCCCGCACACAGCAACGAAGACCCAATGCAGCCATAAATAAATAAATAAATAAATTTATATTATATTTAAAAAGCCAACAATTCTAAATTCATTGTTAAAATATATCAAATCAGATTTACATGATTTTGGAGGCTCCATAATAAAGAAGTTATATAAAAGTATAATTGTTAATTTGCAGTATATACTATATTATCTCCCCTGAGACAGAACAGTAACTAAAACACATGGTAAAAAGAAAGGTCTGTAACCCCTATACTACTCCTAGGGCCAGAGAATGAAGATAGATTCTTACATCTAATCTGGTCTGATGCTGCTTAGTCATCTGATCTTGAACCTTCAGTCTTCGAAGAAGTTCTTTGAAACCCACCATTGGTACAGGAATTAACCTGAAGAAATACAAGTGGTCAATTTTCAGACCTAAACCTATTATTACAAAATACACGGTAAGGTTTTCATAATAACACTCATGTAATTTCACTATATTTCTAGGGTTCGAAGGCAGATCTATGACTATGAAATCAACAATGTTACACCATAGAGATTTCACCTAACCTCCTTATTTTACGAATGAGGAAATACAGTTTGGTCAAAAACTGCATTATTGGGCTTCCCTGGTGGCGCAGTGGTTGAGAGTCCGCCTGCCGATGCAGGGGACACGGGTTCGTGCCCCGATCCAAGAAGATCCCACATGCCATGGAGCGGCTGGGCCCGTGAGCCATGGGCGCTGAGCCTGCGCGTCCGGAGCCTGTGCTCCGCAACGGGAGAGGCCACAACAGTGAGAGGCCCGCATACCGCAAAAAACAAAAAACAAAACAAAACACAACAAAAAAACTGCATTATTAAATGCAAATATATAATTAGGGCACTAGTACTCAGATTTTATGTTTTCACCACACTATGCTGCTTTACTGTAATCAGCATTCTTTAAAAAGCAATGAAAAGGAAAATAAACTCACCTCGAATCATAGTTAACAGCCTGCATTTGTTTGCTTCCCTGGTAGTAAATACTAGTTCTTATATGAAAGCAAGATGAAGATACACTTACTTTTCAGAATCAGGGTTATCCACCTTGGCTTGTTCCCAGATAATTGGATCAACACCTACCACAAAGAAGAAATATTTTTTCTAAAAGGAACTATTTTCCATTTTTATAGTATTTGTATGGGAAAAGCCCTGCTAAAGTAAGACACAAAACCTAGAAGCTGTAATGAAAAATGATTGTCAAATATGACCACAACAACAAAAAATTGTAGGATAAAGCTAAAAAAAAAAAAAGTGACTTGAAAGCAAATATCTATAACCTATAGGGTAATAGATTGACCTCCAGAATATAGAAAGAGCTCCTCTAAATCAGAAAGACAAAAAATTTAATAGAAAATGGGCAAACGACATGAATAGGTAATTCACAAAAATTATAAACATGGGACTAATAAACATACAAAAAGCTGGCCAACTTTAGTAGCAATCAGGGAAATGCAAATGAAAATAAGTATTAATTTTTTGCCATCAGAGTGGCAAAATTAAAGACTGATAATCTCCATTGTTGGCAAAAATAGAGCAGAATGAGAAAACATTAGAAAAATTAAAAATATGAGGAAAAGTAACACATTCCTGTTATGAATGTAAATGGTAGAACTTCCCCTGGAGAGCCATTTGGCAGTTCTAACAATATGTTAAGTACAGTCATCCCTCTGGCATCCACAGAGAATAGGGTTCAGGCCCACCCCATTCCTTGGGGATGCTCAAGTCCCTTGTAAAAAATAGTGTCGTTTTTGCATATAATCTACACCCATCCTACCATACACTTTAAATCATTTGTAGGTTACTTATAATATCTAATACAATGTAAATGCTTTGTAAATAGCTGCCAAGGCGCCGCAATTCAAATTTTGTTTTTTAGAACTTCCTAAAATCTTTTTTCTACTATTTTGGAGCTGTGGTTAGTTGAATGTGCAAATGCAGAACCTGCAGATGTGGAACTCCCAGATACAGAGGGCTGACTGTATATATAATCTTGACTCAAAAACTTCAGTAGAGACTGTCATACAGTGTGAAGTACGTCAGAAAGAGAAAAACAAATATCATATATTAACACATGTATGTGGAACCTAGAAAAATGGTACAGATGAACCAGTTTGCAGGGCAGAAGTCGAGACACAGATGTAGAGAACAAACGTATGGACACCAAAGGGGGAAAGCAGCGGGTGGTGGTGGGGGGATGGTGGTGTGATGAATTGGGAGATTGGGATTGACAGGTATACACTAATGTGTATAAAACTGATGACTAATAAGAATCTGTTGTATAAAAAAATAAATAAAATTCAAAATAAAAAAAAATTTCAGTACCAGAGATTATTCTAAAAAAAATACAAGCCTATGTGTTCTAAGACATATTTACAAGGATGTTAATTGTTGCACAGTTTATAATAGTGAAAGGTGGAAACAACCTAGAGGTTAAATTCAGTAAGGTACATCCACAGTATTCCACGCAGCTTTTAAAAAGAATAAGATTTATCTTTATGTACTGACATGGAAAATACTAAGAAATACTATAAGTAAAAAGGCAGGTTGCAGTAAATGTATAGTGCAGAATACTTTTTTCAAGGACTTAGTATACATATGCTTACATTAAAATTACCGATAAAGAATTAATAAAGTTCAATAAATTATTGATAATAGTTACTTCTATGGAAGAGAGGTAAAGATCTATCACACAGTCAATCTAGAAACTTTTATGGTGAGAACACATTCAGGTTTTACTTGAATACTTAGTTAAGAGATAAGCTAGACAAAAATAAAATACTAAGATTACATTGTCTTTGGGTAGATGGAGTATGGACTATTTTTCTTTAGTTCACCATTGCCCAAATTTCTAACAAACATATTACCTATATAATAGAAAAAACTAAATGAATGAATACAATAAAAACATTCAAAACTATGTCCCAAATAAGCAGACACAATAAGCTGACACTGGTGTTATTAATATTAATAACCAAGCAACACCTCCCAAAATAGAGGAAGCATGTATTTCTAAATTTTTCATTTCCTCAACTCCATGACTCTGGAAACATACCAGCAGGAGGATTCTGTAAAAGCTGTTTGATCTGTGCAGGAGAAAGTTCTGTTCTAGTCATAGAAAGGGTTACACCAAGTTGCTGCAACTGTGTTTTTATATTGGTTTGTTCAAAATGGGCATATAGTGTTGTAGCTGGAACTCTTCTTGAAGTACCATTTGGAGAACGCTCAACAACATAAATGACAACTTCTGTCCTGGGGGAAAGATAACCAAGTTATAAAATATGGAGCACGTAACTCACAGCCACAAATATCAATGCAGCATGTGATTTTAGAAGGGTGTTAGCTGAATTCAGAAGCACCCTTCTAAATCAAAGGGTGCTAAATAAAGTTAAAATGAGGTAGGCAAGTAAGATATTATCTATAAAAGGTATGCTTAGCTGCAAAGTCCTATGTAAATGTTTTTTTTTTCCCCCCAGAATTGAGAAGTGCTTTGGAGATTCTGTTGAAGTTTATGGGTTGCTTCACTGCAATTTAGTCCAAAAAGTAAAATCTGATTTCAGTTATTATATCTCACTGATAACAATAATTCTTCTAACCCCAAATATCCTAAAGCAAATGTCTTGCCACTAAGCATGATAATTATACATAGGACAAGGGAAGTTAATCATATTTATCCATGAATGAACATGTACAGTAATCAGTTAAAACATTCCAATGTCTTTGTGGCCCCTAATTTGCATACAGCCATAATTAAGTTTCCTCCTGTTTCTGAATGAGAAATCTAAGAAATTATTAGCATCTAATAAGAAACCCAAGATTAAGAAAAAAGCTTTTAAACAAATGCTTCTATAAATACTGAAGAATCACTAGCTGAGAAATATTCTGCTTTGAGATTTAATTTGTGCTTTAGCAACAAAAACACTTGATCACTCTCTTTGGACCAAGGCACACAGAAATATATAGTATATTTAATGTATACTTACTGATCATCTGGCAATGTTTTAATGCCCTCTACATTTACAGTAAGGGTCTGGTTTCCTCCCAAAACTTTATGCAATGATTCTACCAATTGCTGTTGCTGGCTTCGAATATCTGTTTCTTTTTTGTTGAAAACTAAAACCACTAGCCCATCTTCATCTTTATTATTGGGCATACAACTATAACCTACTGCCTGTGGAATGACAAAACAAAGAATATCAAAAACATGTACAGATCTCAAATCACGTGTTTAATATTAACAGCTTAACATCTGCTAAAACAGGGAAAATAGCTTAATGTCTGGTAATGAAGGGAATATGTAATGATTCTTTCCATAACTCTGTGCCCTAGGAAGTCACACAATTATAAAGAGAAACTTTCTAACCCAAGAATAACATAAACTTAGAGAAATTAAAATTTCCTCTTCCACAGAGTAACTAAATAGCTTTCTCCTCTGAAAAACTTTGATATCCATCATTGTCGGGTGTTTCTGAACACTGTGGAAACAACTCTGCATGCCATAAAAATGACTGCAAAAGTCATGGACCAAAATGTAATTTACTTTATTATATATCTGACTCATGGAATCTTAAGCGAAGTTTATATAAAGATACATAAAGAAATGTTTACCAAATAAATACTTTTAAAGTACCATAACAACACTGTCAACTTATAAATGCTATAAACAATGTCTACATTATTTTATGGTTTCATGTAATACAAAACTTTATGAAACAGGTTAGTATTTTACATATATTAAGTGACAAACTATACCTTTCTAAAGAATTACTCTTTTAGACATAAGCCTTTTTTCTCTTTTGTCATCACTTATAATGAAATTTTTTAAAAAGAATGTAAATTCATTCTGTATTAGTTCATTATGCATTTTACCATATGTATGTTAATATATCAATTAAAGAAAGAAAAAAATTGTTATATTCAACCTATGTCTACTATATACCTCTTAGTCACTACACAAGAGTATTAAAATTTCAACTATATACACTCAAAAGGTATACTTTCTTTTTGTAGAGTGATGAGATAAAGAGATATTCCCTAACAAGATAGGTTGGTCACTTTGTGTTGTTTAACCATGTTCAAGGGTCTGATCCTCAGCCTTGCAACTCCAAACACCAGCCTATGTACACATTGATTAAGTTTAAGAGACTGACATAGGCCAACAAAACTTAAAAGAGGCTGACGTATAAACTGGATTGAAATACGTTAATTTTTTACGAAAAATACATCACCAAGTTGACCTAAATCTCACTGGCTGATAAGTAGAATCTCTGAGAAGTTAAATTCAAATGAGAAAGTTGTTTGGTAGGCATGGAATCAGAGCAAAGAAAACATACTATGATGTTGTAGTACTTGGCTTTGGCAGTCAGCTATAATAGTGACAACAGTATACATACCAAGCAGAAGAGTTACTCTGATATGCTGTTTAGGGTATACTTTCCAGGACAATATTAGATGAAAACCACTAAATTCTACTTTTGGGTCTCCCCTTTATAGGTGCCAAGCAGACCATTTCCCCTCTGTTAACATTTTTTCCTGCTATAAATTACATTCTAGTCACACCTTCCTTCAGTCATATTCTAGTCATCTCAATCACACATATGTAAGAAATCACTTCAATTTTATAGTTTCTGTACTTTTAAAACGAAAGTGTTACTGTAACATGTTCAAGGAGTACTAAAAAACCAAGCAATTGTTTTCTTAGTATTATTTTAATCCAAATATCACATTTCCTCGTACACTCTTCAAGTGAAGATCAAAAGCAGTATTAATACCTTAAAACGGCAAAATGGGTTTTCTTGTGTGAATTCCACTGGTGGAATGTTACTGTTGAAATATCCTTTTCCTGTTCCCCAAAAGGCCTGTAGTTGATTCCATTTTGCCAAAATAGCATCTCTCTCATCTCCCAGTAGTGTTGGAGCAGAAAGAGCACTTGCAGTATTTATCAGTTGGTTGGACTGGGCAGGAGCTTGTGTAGGCTGGCTGAAGAGACCACCTAATGCTAAAAATGTACCCCAAAATTAGTTTTTCAAAAGAAGAATCAATCAATTCAGGTCCTAGATATGGTAAGCAGAATATCCCCCGCCCCAAGAGATCTACATCCTAATCCCCAGAACCTGTAAATATGTTACCTTGTACAGCAAAAGGGACTTTGCAGATGTGATTAAATTAACTAAACTGAGATTATCCTGGATTATCAGAGTGAGTTCAACATGATATACGGGCTCTTTAAAAGGGAAGAGGGAGGTCAGAGTCAAAGTGAGATTTGAAGATGCTATGCTGCTGGCTTTGAAGATGGAGGAAGGAGCTATAAGCTAAGAAATGGAGACTCTAGAAGCTGGACAAGGCAAGGGGATGGATTCTCCCCACAGCCTCCAGAAGTAACACAGTCCTATCAACACCTTGATTTTAGCTCAGTGAAATTTAGTTCTGGATTTCTGATCTCCAGAACTGTAAGGTAATATGTTTTAAGTCACTAAGTTTGTGATGCTTTGTTATGGCAATAATAGGAAAGTAATATGCTAGAACAATCCTTATAGTGTTAAACTTGCATTTCTGATATCATCTTAATACAATTAATTCCATTAAACACAATTTAGATCCATGATATTAATATTAGACCCACACTGAAAAAAGGGTAAAGTCTGTGAAGTTGCAGAATTGTTTTTTAAACAACCTTTACTTCTGTTATAGTTGTATAATATATACAAATTGGAGGATACAAAATAAGCAAAAAGAATCATTATATCAATGTTATGTCAATATCAGCTTAATAAACGATTTCCTTCTCTTAGTGCAAAGAAATATATAGTAAAAAAAACAACAAATGGGCAAATCCTAAGCTAAAGCTTTAGCTGGCTGTGTAACTTTGGACAAGTTACTTATTCTGTGTTAAAATTTCTCCAGTAAAAGAAGGGCTGAGTTGTTAGATCAGATCAGTATTTCCAAAGTGCTAGATAAGTAAATAACCTTGGTACATGAAATTATCTTGTCAAGCAACAGTTGAGTCACCAGATGGACTAAATCATATGACAAAAACTTCTCTTTTAATTATCTGATTTTACATATATATATATATATATATATATATATATATATATATATATTTTTGCGGTATGTGGGCCTCTCACTGTTGTGGCCTCTCCCATTGCGGAGCACAGGCTCCGGACGCGCAGGCTCAGCGACTATGGCTCACGGGCCCAGCCGCTCCGCGGCATGTGGGATCTTCCCGGATCGGGGCACGAATCCGTGTCCCCTGCATCAGCAGGTGGACTCTCAACCACTGCGCCACCAGGGAAGCCCTGATTATATATATTTTTAAAGTCTCAGTTTGGTGCTAGTATGCCTTTAATGCCTCGTGTCATCACTTACCTCACTTTTTAACAAAGGGGAGAACAAATCTAAGACTAGGAGCTTAAAGTAAAGGTATCTAGCCAGAATTTATTAACACTATTATATTTTCTGTGGACTTAAGTTCAATTATTGTTTCTTTATAAAGAAACAATAGCTATAGCAAGTGATACTGGTTTTCCATTTATAGCAATAGTTTGGATTTTCCTTTCAAAATAAACATTTAATGTTTAAAAGTAAACTGATTTAAAGAAAATTCTCTAATAATACAAATGGTATGTAGATAAAAGAAAAATCATGAATACCAAAATGACCTGAGTTTTAGGACCACTATATTAGATGATCTTTAAGTTTTCTTTCAGCTTTAAAGATTGCAAGTACCACAAGGCCAATGGGGCTTCTACAGGGCTAGAGAGGGGCTGCGGCTACCCTCAACGTATTATTAATTCCCAAATGGGCATTTATGAAAATGGCAGAGAAGTGGATTAGAAGCCAGAAGACTTGAATCCTGATTTGCTATATGCTCACTTTGTAGCTTCCGACAAGAAATTCCTAGGTTTTATCTTCCTCAACTTTTAAATAAGATTAACAAACTATCATCTATACTAATTTACACTTCACACTAGATTCCAACCACACTAGTCTACTCAGAGCTCACTAGCTGGAAGGCATTTGAGAAACTCAAATAACAAAATCCTACAGACGCTTTTAAAGCCTTAGCATATTAGATTTCTCACACCTTTCTACCTTCTCAGGCCCTCATGCTGTTGATTATTCATTCCTTCAATCCTCAGAGAAAATCTTCAACTTTCACTGAATACACATCCTTCTTGAAGAACTCTTCTCCCTTAGATTTCCTGACAATACAGTCTCTCCTGGTTTTATATATCATACACATATACATACATGCATATTTTCATTCATTCATTCACCATGCATTCATTCAACAAATATTTACCGAGTACCCCTTAAGTGTCAGACATAGAGGCAAACACTAAGGATATGGTGGTAAACAAGACTGGTTCTTTAAACAAACTGAGCATATCAAACAAATATTAACAGTTGTGATAAGTGCCTCGAAGTAGAGGCTCTGAGAGTCCTAAATGAGGGAGCTAATCAAGCTTGGGGCAGGGGGGTTAAGAGAAGGCTGTCCCATAAGAACTTCAGCTAAGGTCTAAAGGAAGTAGTCAGCCAGGCCATGGGGTAGCGTCAAAGAAGAACAGCATGTGCAAAATCTCTGTGTCAAAGAGGAGGGGAAGATGAGCTGGCAAAAGGAATACGGAGTACTAAACAATAGGGTAAGAGAAAAAAAAGACCAGACTATGATTGAAGTTGAGGGCTCACATTGGCCAAAAATGTGACAATTTGAGCATCAAAAAGAATAATGAATACATCCAACTCAAACACACTCAATTTACTAAATCTCACGCATTCAAAATGATACTTTTTAAAAGTAAAAATCAAAAATTCAGAAAAATCTCAACACCTTGGACACCACTGGAAATAATCAGGCTACCAACAACTTCTTACAAAAACTGTCAGTTAAAAAGAAAGAATTTATCCTGCCTTTCCTATATAGATTCCATTTCAGGGTGACCAAGCAGTCTAAGGGGGATGAAGAAAAACTCCTTTTACAGAAGACTTTCAGTGTGGAAGAGAGGGCAGAACTAGAAAGTCACTAACTCCTAATTTTGCAACTCCTAATAAAATAACTGATTGAGGCAATGACCATCAATGAATGAAACCCTTAGGTTAAAGACTGATGGGGAACTTTACAAGACAGACTGGCTCTCACCACCTGAACCCACTGATCAATCTTTGCATCTCTAAAAGAGATGGTCTCATAATATGATACAATAGGAAGCACACAGCACCACCCGCAAAGTATTCATGCCAAAAAGTCAAACTTAAATCTAATAAAGTACCTAAAGCTAACTTCATTTACCAGAAATATGGGGCATAAAGTCAAATGATTCTACAAGGAAACAAATCTAGACTGGGGGATATTTCACAGGACAACTGGTCCAGTTTCTGTAACAATTCATGAGTGGGGTAAAAAAAACCCAAGCAGGGAATGCTCTATACTAAAAAGAAGCTTAAGAGACCTTGTTTAGATCATGATTCAAATAAACCAACTGAAGAAAACTTTACTGAGACATATGGGGAAATCTGATTAAGGATGATACCAAGGAATCAGTAAATGTTGAGTTGGAATGACTCCATGTTTTTAAAGACAGAAGCACAGTAAAGCAGTAAAGTAAGGGTGAAATTACATATTTGGGATTGGCTTTAAAGTACTGATACTTCAGCAATTCAAAAAAAAAAGGAGGGGGGAAGGAGGATATAGATAAAACAAATGTGGCAAGTTCTGACTTTTGTTGAATCTATTTGGTACAACATGGGGTCGTTTTACTATTTTTGTATTAGAATTTTTCACAATTAAAGAACAGTAGATGTTCACTGGATTTGAGATGATTAATGACCATAACTATTTGACTGGGTAAAGAAAGAAGAAAACAGATTAGTGTGGGCTAAGAGGTAACAGAAGACAGCAGCAGGGGATCCCATTCTTCTATATCTATTTCAAGTAGTTTATGAAGGCGAGAAGAGAGTGATAACTGAAGTGAGATGTGAAATTAAAGTAGTTTTATTTTTTTGTTTCTGGTTTTAGAAAAAAGAAACTTCAGATGTTTAAATGTGAATGAGAATAATCCTCGGACAGAGAAGCTGAAGACTGTTTTTGGCGGGGGGTGAGAGGTAGAATGGGGTAGGGGTCTCCTGGGAAAAATAATCAACAGCACAAGGAGCCCCAGAAGGTGGGAGGATATGAGATTCAGAGCACAGGCGAAAAGGGAAAAGGATGGGTTACAGCGGTAGGTAGATAAATAAGATTCGGTAGTGGGCAACTGAAGGAATTACAATGAGGGATTCTATTTTCTCTTTGAAGCAGAGGTCAAGGCCATCTACTAAAAGTGAGAACAGAGAACTTTGAGATTTGAAGAGAATAAAGGTTTAAAATAACTTACAGAAAGTGGGAGAAAAATTTGAAAATAAAAACTTAACAGGATTACCAGGCAATGATGAGGTCCCAACTTGGGTTGGTGATTAAGAATTTAGAGATTCAATCTTCTGTACTGTATGATTTTCTCAAGCAGTATCTGGACAGACAGTTGGGCTTACACAGGCTTGGGGTTGTTTTTTCCGGCAGACATGATACAAGGATAAGGAAGTTTAGCATACTGGCAAGAGTGACTGAAATGGAAGGACACGGGCTCTAAGCTAATTAGAAAGGACAGTGAGACAGGAAGGAGCTGATGGAAGAGCAGAAAGTGTCAGTGCTCTAAGATCCTAATGAGGTCTAAGAACAGCTATGTTGGAAGTGGTTGAAAAGTCAGGCTAAAAGAGCAATAGGTTGTAGGATGTTTGATTATGCGTTATTATTGATGACTGGAATTAGATTATTGATTGATTATGGAATTAGAACAGTTTCAGATGTTGCCGAAGTCCAAGGTAAGAATTGTGGGTAAAGTGAAACGGAGAAGGTCTTTGGAATAAAAGGTAGATGGTATGGCCGTCTGAGTACATAGCCATGTGAATGCTAAAATAACCCAGATTGATAGTACAAGTTAGAAAGAAAAGCAGGACTCAGAGCCAGCTGCCAAAGTGTTCAATGAACAAAAGGTACTGTCCAGGAAATCAGCAGATAACAGAGATTAGACATATCAGAGATGGTGTAACCAGACAGCAAGCACCTCATACAAGCAGGAGTTTTTAAAAATGAGGCAAAAGCTCCACAATCTTTGCAGATTAAACTCAAACTCCTTTCAACAGCAGGTCCCAAATTCATCACGCCGTGCCATGCATTCGTGCCTCTGTCACTGTTATTCCCTCTGCCTGGAATACCCTTTTCTGACTTTATCCAACTGGCTAATTCCCTTAAGATTCAATTCTTCCTCTACATTCCAAAGCACCTTGTATGGGTCTATTTTAGTGCTTTCACCCATACATATTTTTTATAATTGAATGTTTATTATTCTATCTAATTGGATGTTTGTTATTCTATCTCATTGTAGACTATGAGCAACCTTATATACCCAGCGCCTGACATAAAACATACACTCAGCAGAATGAGCCCTTTTCATTCTGAAAATGAACAGCAGCAGATTCAAATTCCCATTTTTCCTAACAAGAGTAAGCACAACTATAATAACTTATAGTTGAAGAGACTTTATGTCAAGAAACAAAGAAAAAACTTCACTTTTCCTTTCTTGACTACTTGGATTTCCATCAAACTCTGTATTGTTGCAGAAGGACAGTAAGAAAGATATAATTGTAACACCAGAAAGAGTAATTCTATTATCTTCATCCTATTGGTTAGATAATTCTTGAAATTCATGCTTAATATGTTAGTAATCTTCAATGACTGAGTAGGGTAAATTTCAGCCAATCAATCAACTTACCTAAGAAAAATGAAACAAAAGTGATTTTAAGAGGTAGCAAACTATGGAAAAGCAAAAGGAGCATTACAAAGGAAGTCGAGGAACTTGAATTTATGTTCCTATACTACATCTTGGAAAATATATGGAAAAGTCACAATTTTCTCAGTTACCTCTCTTCACCTATAAAATGGAGGTAACAAGAGTTCTACTTCATAGAGTTCTTGTGATAATTAAATAAACTAATCCATACAAGATAACCCTGGAACGTACTGCCACACCAGCTAGTAAGGAAGCTATCAGAGTAATTCTACACTTGTCTGAAAGGACCTGGGAATCAACCTGAAGAAGCTTACACTGGCCAAAGATGGAACAATTTAAACATCAATATGGAAAACTGCAATGGACTGAAAAATATTAAATAATTTAAATACTTGAGTTCCTGACATAAAAAAAAAAAAAAATTGGTTACCTTTGGAAAATGATAGGGAACCAACTCTTTATTTTGAAAGCTAAGAATAAAGGGCAAGAATCAACCAAATAGTGGATGAGGTAAAGTTTCTCTTTATAGAAGTATTTCAACAAATAAATGACAACGGAATCAGACGGTTGGAATAATACCATTTTACAACCCCTAAGGAACTCATGGATCTAGGTAATGATCACCAATGGCTGCTGCTAACATCACAAAAAATACAGAGAATCAGACATTATATGCCTCTTGATAAAAATACCACACTACCTATAAAGTAGTCTTGCAAACAAACAAAAAACTGAACTATCAACATAAATAAGCCCCCAGATTCAACCCAATTTACAAGAAATACAGAGGACAAAGGGATATGCTAACTATACAACAGGAATGCAATCAGTAAAGTTCTGACTGACAACCTCTACAGGACAAATGATCTGATTTCTTCAACAAATTGAAAAATAAATAAAAAAGAAAGAGCTAAAAGGGGAACTTACAAAGATTTAAGACAAATGAAACTAAACAATATAAGACAAAACCATAAAGAAAAGTAAGGAAGTGATCAACACAAAAGGCAAAACTATATTTCCTCTGATGGGGAAGTGACTAGGAGGGAAACGTAGAGGGCTTCTGAAGTGGCTGGCCAGGGTCTACCTCCTGACATGGGCAGTGGTTACAATGGCGTTCATCTTATATACAATTCACGAAGCTGTACTTCTGTGCCACTTTCTATATCTGTGTTATTTTTATCAACAACAACAAAAATTTTAAAGGAATGATACTAAACACGGAGGCCTTATAATCAGAATCTTGCCAATCTGTCTCTTTGCCAGGTGCTATCATCATATATAAACACAAGAAGTAGCTTTTGGAATACTTTATAATTCCTCCAAAAAACAAAAAAGATATCCACTAAAGTGTTTTGAACAGTGCACTCAACAATGTTGCCTACACTGTTATGGCTTTATATCTGAAAATGAAAACCTCTTATACTTACTAGTTTGTTGCTGCTGCTGCTGCTGCTGTGTATGAAATCCTCCAAATCCAAGTCCAGTTCCCAAACCAGTACCTAAACCAGTACTGGTTCCAGCTGTTGTGCCAAAGCCAGTGCCAAATCCAAAACCTTTGTTCTGAGCACCACCGAAGAGTCCTTTGAATGAAAAATTTAAATTGTTTAAGGTAAAAAAAAAAGCTGACTTGTAGCTCATTTGCTTCTACAAATGATATAAGATGTCCTCTTGGGCTTCCCTTGTGGCGCAGTGGTTAAGAATCCGCCTGCCAATGCAGGGGACACGGGTTCGAGCCCTAGTCCAGGAAGATCCCACATGCCGCAGAGCAGCTAAGCCCATGCGCCACAACTACTGAGCCTGCGTTCTAGAGCCAGCGAGCCCCAACTATTGAGCCCGTGCTCTAGAGCCTGTGCCCTGCAACAAGAAGCCACCGCAATGAGAAGCCCGCACACGGCAACGAAGAGTAACCCCAGCTCGCCACAACCAAAGAAAGCCTGCACGCAGCAACGAGGACCCAACACAGCCAAAAAAAATAAAAATTTAAATTTAAAAGAAAAGATGTCCTCTTACCAGTAGTGCCCGTGTTAGATGGAGCAGAAAAGCTGAATGCAGAACCTGCTGTTGTAGATGGTGTCCCAAATCCACTAAACCCACCTAATTAAAAAAGGATAAATAAAATAGCAAGGAAGAATCTTTTGTATACATATGAGGTAATTTCCTTTTCAAATTACATGATAAGCAATTGCTCCACATAAAGACAAAATATATTGGTCTAACTTTTCCTTTCTCTACTTTAACGTCAATTTTTAAAAAACTATACTACTAATCAAGAAGTCAATAGGTTGCAAGAAATGAGCTACTAAGTATTTAAAGTAGAAATACCACAATGCAATATATACCTTTCAACTAAAGAGGTGATTAAGCTACAGCTGAGTAAACATGTTCATAAGCCTATTGCCATAGTGTTAACGCTAAAATGACTGTGTACTTTTACAGCAGGGGTTGCAAATTCAAATGCCTACAAGATACAGGCTGATAACATTCATGAATGAAATAGACTAGGTGTTTATTGACTGCCAAAAGGGATCAGTGTGAACAGTTTTTTTTTAAATGGCAGCAGTTCCTAAATTCCAGCAAAATACTGCTGCAGGAGAATTTAGTAGTGTGTGGGCTTTAGAATTTTAGTAGCAGTAGTTTAGTAGTGTTATATATTCCAATTTTTCCCAAGAAATAGAAAATCTAGATTTTCTGTGTGAAATTGACAAAATTTTAAACCTGAAGTCAATTTATTTTTTTGCAACTAATTCAAATATTTTTAAAACAGTGTGACAAACAGATCATACTGGCAGACTGTGCTGCCAGTTTGCAACCCTGGCTTCAGTGAATTAATTTATACTCTACTTTAGCTTATATTTCTACTTAGTCTCCATCAAGACTGAGCAACTTTTCAAATGAAACATACCAATATACTGACTCTTATATTGGTATGTAAACAAGAATGTGTTTCCTGAAGAGATAAGGGGGAAAAAATCACAAGGCAGCAGTGGCCGGCAAGGAGAGCAGAGCTATCACAGGGCTCTGCGCCACAACAGTGAAAGACACACAAATTTCACTTTTAGATAAATCTAGAGACGAAATTAATCTTAACCATATCGAAGCTGACATATGAATGGAATGGAATTCCGGCCAATACACAATGGCTTTTTTCCCCTTACTGTCAGTCTTTACCTGATCACCAATGTGGTGTCAAAAAAAGACTTTTAAGACAAATGTTTGAACCATTAGTGCTGAGTTATGCTGCAGACTCTCTGGGATTCTAACTTTTAGTCTCATGTATTTCTGGCATAAGAGACAGATTCATCAATATTGTAACATAAAAGATATAAGAAGGAAAAAAAACCCAACCCACTGATAGTCATCATATGACTGACTTGGAAAATTACTCAAGAATAGACTACATGTTGCATGCAGGCACAACCAAATACTCTATTTACTTGTAGGTTCTACTGCAGTACTGAAAACTGTAAACATTTTGATAAAAATCACCTAAAGTACTGAACATTGTTCCTAATCTTTTTCATTACTTCTAATTTTCACAGAAAAACTAAGATATATTCTGAATTGGCTATACAATAAAAACACTGGTATCTTAACATGCTCCATAATGTGAAAATGTTTATTAGTAAAAATGGATCTGCAAGGATATAAAATAAAAAAGTAAACAAGAATTTCAATCAGCCTTTTGCTGAAGCTGATCAACATACATAAACATACATAAAAGTAGTTATAACAGTTATATTATCACAACTCAAAACTTCACAGTGATAACTCCAAATGAACATGAAATCAAGCAAATACCAACAGGTTTATTTATTACTGTTGAATTATGAGCTGGGTGGGTTTGGTCGGAAACACAAACTTCAAAATAATGTTTCTGTTTTACCCAGTGCCAATTTTAAGCAAACAAGGAAAAGTAAACATACCAAACAACAGTGATATGTGATCACTTTAAATATACCTTAGTGATAACGGATTGTTTAATCTTTGGAACTTCAAGTATTCTTCAAAACATTTTCGAATCAGATTGCCAAGGTCATATTCACACTGCAGTAACAAGTAACTGCACAAAATGCCAGACTTTCCAAATATGTCGTAGGGAATAAATCATGCTTACCAAATGCATATAATTGGCATGGGCATAAGTGGCATATGTAAGAGAATATGAATAATAAATTCATATACGAGCAGCTGAGGAACAAGGTTTTTCTATAGGGTCACTGTATGCAAGGTACACATAGACCTATTTTAAATTTATATATATATATATATATATATATATATATATATATATATATACACACACACACACACGTTATAGTTTGTGTTTTGCAGAATTTCCAACGAGCTTCAAACAATCCATATAGATACCAGAATATTCATAATTACCTTTTTGAGTACAAAGACATCTAGCCTATCTTTTAGAAGCCAATGCTATCTGACAATAAATTAAATTGCTCTCTGATCATTTCTCAAAAAATCCAGTAAAGAAGATTCTTTCTATAATTGCGTTACCTTATAGAAATGTATCCTAATCTGCTCAGTTGGCCAAAGAAACACATTATTATTATTGTACAGGTTAAAAAACAAGACAGGTTGCTGCTGTTCGTATAAGACTTGTTTCTCTCAGGAAACACAAGGACAATCAAATGAAATTCCAATGAAAGATGCAGGAAAAATGGAAAAAAATGACTGCAGGAGTCCAAGAATTCCAGGAAAATGGGCCTGACTGTTGAGCTTATACTTCGAAAGAGATACCTAATAATTTGGAAGATATATTCTACTCAAAATAAAAATCCATTCCAAATACTTATCACTTGGAAGGTATATTCTGTTCAATTAAATGTAAATTTAACAAAGGAACTTTATAACTTGCAAGACTTCCCCAAACCAAATCTTTTAAGAGTGTCAAAAGTTGGTACAAATGTTTTTGACTTGACATTAGGAAATGAATTTCCTTTCGTTGTTAGACAAGTCGCTGTTCTTTCCCACACTCTGGAACCACAAAATATTCTTGGACTCCAGCTCCCAACATTCGTTACACAGACGACCCGCATATCTACCTGCACTTGCCAGACTGTTACCAAAATTGAACGGAGTCGCCGAGGTAGTAGAAACACCGAAATTCCCAATATTAAAGTTCACTGCAGGATTAGCAGTTAATCCGAAACCCCCAAAATTAAACCCACTGGCGGTGGAGTTGGCAGTCTCAAGCCCACCAAATCCTGATAGGCGTGTAGGCAAAGAAACAAACAGAATTTTAAAAGGGGGAGGGGGGGGAAGAAGAAAGAAGAAAAAGAAAAGAAAGCAAGGTAAGGATTAGAAGAGTTTGCAGGAGGTTTCAAAGAAGTGAACAAAGACAAACCCTGACTTTGCTCCAAACGAGTTAAGAAAGCCGAGGAGGCGGGGACGGGAAGGAGGACAGGAGCGTGAAGTCCCGCAGCAAGAACCGAAGGGGCCAGGGCCGAGGGAGCCGCAGAGCAGCGTCCAAGGCTCCCCAGCCCTGTCCTCGCCGAGCCCAGCAGCGGGAACCAAGCGAGCGTTCGCGCCCGTCCCGGACGCTGAGGTGGGGAGCGGTGAGTAGAGTTGGGGAGGGAAGGATGGGTCTCCGGCAAAGGGTGAGAGAAGCCGCCTCCGGTCTCTCCGAGTCCGACTCCCAGGCGGCGGGAAACGAGCCCTAGGAGGAGAGGGCCCTGCGGCGACCCACCAGCAGCGCGCGAGCTCCGGGCTGGGCCTCCATTCTCCCCGCGGCCTCCTCGGGAGCCGCCTCCGCCCGCTCGGCTGCCGCCCGCCCTTTACCGAAACCCCTAAAGTCTCCACGCGGGCAGGAGACCCCAGGATCCCCAAGCCGAAGAGTCTCGGACCGAAGGACTGGACCAAAGGCCTTCCCTCCTCCCCGGGAGAAGGTCTGGGGGACTCACTCACCCGCGGGGGCCGCGGGGGCTGCAGCTGTACCAGAGGTACCCGAGGGAGCCCCAAAGTTGAAGGCCATGTCGCGGGAGCAGGGGACCAGGGTGCTGCTCCCGCGGTACTCGGTGCACTCCGCTCTTCGATCCGCTGGGAAACCACACCCGGATCTCGGAGTTCCGCCTCTTTTCTGGCCTAGCCTAAGAAGCCGGAACGCCTGAAAGGCGTAGCGGGTGGAGCGTGGAGAGGGAACGCCCCCGGCCGGGCTTGCTTCCGGGGGCCAGTGGATTCACGTGGTGTGGAGCGTCGCAACCAATGTGAGATTCTGGGAAGCTCGCCGTGGCGTGCCGCCTGAGAGCCCTTAAAAGCTCTCTTTAGGGAGGCCCCTTGGAAAAGATGTGCAGCAGGCTGAATACCAGTGTCCAATGAAGACAGGGTAGGAAAGAAAGCTAAATTCTTATTCTCCATAGTGGAGAGACAGTGGATAACACTAAAACCGAAAATTCACAAAGCAGCATGTCACTTAAAGTCATGGGGTAATGGTGGGGAAAAGAAGAAGAAAGGAAGAAAGAAAGAAGAAAAAGGCTAAAAGAAGTGCCTCTGAGAATGATGTCCATTTAGGTTTTTTGTTTTGTAGAATTCTTGTTAGAAACTTTGTAGAATTATTTGCTTCTTAAATCTATGTGCTTCTGTAAGTTTAATAAAAATAAAAACAAAGTCATTGTGTCTATCGAAATTAAAATTGTCTTTGGACCTAGCAATGCTACTTCTAGGAATTTATCTTGTAAATGATTTGGCAAAATTAATGGAATACAAGGTTATAGGTTACAGCATTATTTATAATAACAAATGACTGGAAACAGTGTTTTGCTTAAATAGTTGCATTCATACAAAGGAATACTATTCAGCCAAGTAAAGCTCTTTATGTACTGAAAAGAAAGATCTCAAAGGTAAATTATATAAACACAATTTAGAACACTATATGTGTTCTAAATGCTACAATTTGGGTGGGAAAAAAAAAGAGGACTAGAATATGTAATTACATATATTTGTATGAAATATTTCTGGAAAGATAGATTTTTAAAATGAATAACATCGGTTGCCTCTGAGAAGATGAATTGGGTGGCAAGAAGATAGGTGGAGGGAGGACTTTGCAGTATAAAGCCCGTTTAGTTTTTGAAAATGTAAATGGGTTACCTACTCATACAATTAAATAATGCTAATAGTGGTCATTGCAGAAGTCCTAGTGAGAACGCTGATATACGGATGAGGACAGCA